ATTTTGTTTGATACTAATATTGCTTCACCAGATTTTATTTTGTTTGGTTTAGGTTTTTTTTTAATTGTGGTAAAAAAAAAAACCCCACACACACACCTAAAATTTACTATCTTAACCATGTTTAAGTGTTTGGTTAAGTTTTCTTAAGGATATTCACATTGTTGTACAAGGGATCTTGAAGCATAATCTGTGTGTGTTTACTATGATTACTGTTATATTTGGGTTTATTTTACAATCTTATTTTGTATTTTCTGTTTTCCTTGCTTTTTCTTTCTTTCCCCTCCTGCCTTCTGCCTTCTTCCTTTATCTTTTTCACTCTATTAGTGTGAAGGTTACTTACCCTATTTCTTTTATTTGGTGTTTACCTATGTGTGTGTGTGGTTTTTTTTTTTTTTTTTTTTTTTTGCCTATGTGTTTTTAACATGCAGATTTAGCTTAACAAAGCCTACAGGTAATCATTAACTTTCATCTCCTCCAGTGCAAAGTAATAACCAATGATTTCACTTGGAACTGTTCTTTCTCATCTTCCACGTAACTGTTAACAAATACTTTAGCTCTTCTTTGTTTTTATTTTTTTATTATTGAAGTGTAATTGACATACGGTGTTATATTAGTTTCAGGTATACGACATATTGAATCTCCGTGACTTACTTATTTTATAACTGGAAGTTTGTACCTTTTAATCCCCTTCATCTATTTCACCTGTACTCCTCATACCTTCCTCTAGGGCAAACACCAGTTTGGTCTCTGTATTTAAGAGTCTGGCCTTTTATTTGTTCACTTGTTTTGTTTCTGAAATTGCACATATGGTGAAATCATATGGTATTTGTCTTTCTCTGAATGACTTATTTCACTTAGCATAATACTCTCTAGGTCCATCCATGTTGTTGCAAATGGCAAGATTTCACTCTTTTTTATGGCTGAGTAATATTCCACTGTGTGTGTATGTGTGTGTGCCAGCCAGATCTTTATCCATTCTTCTATCCATGGACACTTAGGTTGTTTCCATATCTTGGCTAGTGTAAATAATGCTGCAGTAAACATAGGGCTGCTCAAATTAGTGTTTCCGTTTTCTTTGGGTGAATTTCCAGTAGTGGAATTATTGAATCATAGGGTATTTCTATTTTTAATTTTTGGAGGAACCTCCATACTGTTTTCCAAGTGGTTGTACCAATTTACGTTCCACCAGTAGTGTATGAGGGTTCCTTTTTCTCCACATCCTCACTAACCCTTGTTATTTCTTGGTTTGTTTTTTTTTCTTGTCTAGCCATTCTGACTAGTGTGTTATAATATCTCATTGTGGTTTTGATTTGCACTTCCCTGATGATGAGTGATGTTGAGCATCTTTTCATGTGTCTGTTGGCCATCTGGATGTCTTTGGAAAAATGTTTATTCAGGTCATCTACCCATTTTTTCATTAGATTGTTTTTTGGTGTTGAATTGTAGAAGTTCTTTATGTATTTTGGATATTAACCCCTTATGGGATATATCATTTGCAAATATCTTCTCCCATTCACTAGGTTGCCTTTTTGTTTTATTGATAGTTTCCTTTGTTCAAAAGCTTTTTATTTTGGTGTAATCCTAATAGTTTATTTTTGCTTTTGGTTCCCTTGCCTGAAGAGACACATCCATAAATGTGTTGCTGTTGTTCTTCCTGGTTTTTAACTCCTCAAACAATTAGGCCTTCTCATCATTTCAGAAATCTTTACTATTAATATTACCCAGTATTTTTCTTACCATTCCTCCTTACATCTCATGCCTTCTTTCTTGGTTCATTTTCATTCTTGCTCAAGTACAGCAATGACAGGTGAACTCCATTTCAGTCTTTGTCTGAAAACATTTTTATTTTATACCCAAGTTGGTGAGAGCCTTGCATGCTGACTTGTGTGGCATCCCTACAGAGAGGTTTCAGTTGTCTCTGCCGGGATCCTACGAGTTTCTCACTTTTAGACTGGTTTTATGTGAATCTTACTTCTCGAGATTCCCATTCCACTTTGGTAGTATGATTTGAACCCCACACTTGCATGTGGTGTCGGATTGGGATTCAGATTTCTCTTGGGTTAGTCTTTTTTCACTCATGGCCTGAGGTACTTGGCCAACTTCGTTCCAACAAAGGCAGCAGCAAATGTTTTAGTCCCTATTTCGAAGACGGGTGGGCCCTTTCTGGGCTTATCTTTATGCCTTGTTCTCTGTTCTGATTCTCTGTATCATGGGTCTGAGACCTCATCTGTCCAGGAGGGACCACTCCAAAGGTCTGTAGCTGGTTTCAGTACCCCTCTAGACCTTTGGGTCTGCTTACCACTCAGATTTTGAATTATGCTTTCATTTATGGTACTTAAGTGTTTTCCTTTATTGCTTCCGAGCCCCGCTGTGTATTGAATTCTTTTTGCTCGCTTTTACTAAGCATTTCTATGTGTTCACTGTCATAGAGGTATGAGGTATGAGGTTCTTCCCTTGTTAGGTCTGTCCAGCATATTGACCAGAAGTTGTAGTCCTCTTTCTAAAGCTAAATATGATCCTATCAGCCCTTCACTTGATTTCTGTGGACTTGTTAGCACTGCTTCATTTATTCATCAAATGAATATTTCTTACTTATAATGTCTGTGCTAAGAACTGGGGATACTGGGGTAAGCAAGATATAAAAATCTCTGCCCTCGTAGAGTTTGCTATACTGGTTGGAGACACAGAAGGCAAACCTGTAAATAGTAAGTAAAAATGTGAACTGTAGTTTGTGACATGTACCCTGAAGGAAATAAGGAGTGATGGAGAGTAATTGCTTGGGGTTACTTTAGCCAGAGCCATCAGGGAAGACCTTTCTGAGGAGGTCATATTTAAAGCTGAGATCAGACAGATGAGGAGAAGCCTACCTTGCAAATAGTGGAAGGTTCGCTGGGGCCTGTGGGTTAATTCCAGGCAGTGGAAACAGCAAGTGCAAGGACCCAGAGGTAGGGAAACACTTGGCAGTTTAGAGTTACTGAGGTGATACCGTGTGCTCTAAATGGGGGTGGGGGATGCGCCCCAGTTAGGTTAGAGAGGCAAGTGAGAGCCCAGCCCATCTGCTGCCACTCCTCTCTTGGCCCACCCCTCCCCCTGCCTGTCATCTTGCCACACGGATCCTTTCCCGTCTGGGCCTGCGGGAAGTCACCTCCTCGGTGAAGCCCTTCTCCCTTTGCACTACCTCAGCTCCCACTTTGTCCCACTTTGTACTTTGTCTCCTTATCAGAGTGTGGTGTGGATAGTTGTTTACGTGACAGTGTTCTCCAGTGGGCCTGCAGCTTCTGTCAGAAGATATGTCTTATTTACCCTTGTGATCCCCAGACTGTGGCACAGAATAGTTTTTGATTGAATAAATGTTTGTTTGTTTGGCAGTTTATGCCCAGGGCTTCCTTTCCAATCTTTCCAATGCCTTTATAACAGAACTTGTCATAGATAGTAATTTTTGTGGTATTTAAACCATCAGGATAAAAAAAAACCGTCGACTAAGGAGGAGTTTATTCGCTTAAGATTTGTCTCTGATACTGAAGGGGAAAATCGGGGGGTGCTCCAGACTCAGTGGGGTGGGTCAAATGGTGGCCCCCCAAAAGACTGTGCCCACATCCTAATCCCTAGAACCTGTGAATATGACCTTACGTGGAAGAAGGGTCTTTGCAGACATAATTAAGGATCTCGAGAAGAGATCAAACCAGATTCTTTGGGTGGACCCTAAATCCACTACAAATGTCCCCATAAGAGACAGAGGAGGAAGAGACAGAGACACAAAGGAGAAGGCCATGGGAAGACGGAAGCAGAGATTGGAACCATGCAGCTGCAAGCCAAGCAATGCCGGGCCCTCCAGACACTAGAAGAGCCTGGAAGCATTCTCTCCTAGAGCCTTTGGAGGAAGCTCGGCCTGGCTAGCACCATGATTTCAGATTTCTGGCCTCCAGAACTGTGAGAGAATACTGTTCTACCGTAAGCCACTGGTTTGTTAATACATAGCCCTCCGCATTACACCTCAGTTACGTCTTCTGTGACACGGCTGTAATAAGACCTACCTCAGAGGCCTGTTGCCGTGATTAGATGAAACGTGTTTGTAAGGTACTCAGCACACCGTGAATGCTCAAATAGAGTGGTGGCTCCTTTCTTCTTCATCGTCCTCATCTTCTGCAAGGACTTAGGAGTTTGCTTCCTTTCGTGAAGAAAAACTCAACAATAGCGGGGGACATTTCTGTCTTGTGATCGTCCGGGGAGTTAAAGCTCACACCACAGACTTACCCTGAGAGCCTCAGTGTGCCCATGGGCTCCGTAGCGTTTGGATCCTGGTGCCTTCACAGCCCTCCATTAGCGTTTCTGTCAGGAGAGAGTTCAGCCTGCTGCTGTGGGTCAGGAAAGCCAAACTAGAACTCCGATAGCAGAGTTGAAGTGACCCACACAGAGCAGAAAGCAACCTCTCTGTCCTCACCTAAAACAAAGGCTTGGGGTTTTAAGTTTCTTCCTTCCTTCTTTCCCTCCTTCCTTCCTTCCTTCCTTCCTTCCTTCCTTCCTTCCTTCCTTCCTTCCTTCCATTCATTCAAGATTTTATTCATTTATCTGTCAGAGAGCTAGCGAGAGAGCACAAGCAGGGGGAGTGGGAGAGGGAGAAGCAGGCTTCCCGCTGAGCAGGGAGCCCAATGCGGGGCTGGATCCCAGGACCCTGAGATCATGACCTGAGCCAAAGGCAGATGCTTAACTGACTGAGCCACCCAGGCGCTCCAGGGTTTTAATTTTCTAATTCCTATGAAGGGAGTGGACTTCCCCAAAGACCTGTACCAATTAATCCTCCTATCACACCAATCATCAGAAGTTCATCAGACTGAGTTCAGACTTTCTGTATTTGTATTTGCATTTGTCTGCAGGCCCTCACACAAGCCAGGAGCGGGAGGAAGACAGGCAGAACTGGTGCAGGGGGCATAGGGTGCGTAGTGCCCGGGGGGCCCCGGGGCTGAGTGGGGTGCAGTGCTCACGCTTCATCTCCCCCGCAGATGGCTGGCACCGTGCTCGGGGTAGGGGCCGGCGTGTTCATCTTAGCCCTGCTCTGGGTGTTGGTGCTGCTGCTGTGTGTGCTGCTATCCAGAGCCTCCGGGCTAGCCAGGTAAGGCCTCCTCTCCAGCTGGGAGTCCAAGGTAAAAGCAGTTAGAAGTGAAACCGCTGATGCTCATTAAACATTTAGAATCCAGAAGATCGTTTTTGTCATTACTGGCAGTTTGAATGAGTTGCATTTTAACCTGGTATCATAAGCACTGACTGCGTTATTTATGCTCTGACGCAGAGGAGAAGGCAAGTGGTATTTTCCAGCTCTCACTGTGGAGGCAATGGGGGGGGGGACAGAAGCGACAAAAAGGAAATGTGTGTTCGCTGCCTGTTGAATTTCTTGGGCGTGTATGTGTGTGTTTCAGAATTATTCAGACTTAGGGCACATGCTTGGTCCAGTCCCTGAGGCTCTAACCTGGGCCTGGGGACACTGCAGACGCTCCGAAGGCCGCAGAGTTGTGCGCTCTGGCCAGACAGTGTCAGGATGAAGCAGTAAGCTATGTGATTTGCCAGAGTCTTCCAGCTAAAGACAGGCAAAGAAGTTAAGAAGAGGGAAGGGCTGATTTGATTTTTCATGATTATGAATGCACAGAGGCAAAATAAAAAGTACCCATTCCCATTCTTAGGCATTTGGGATTACCAGGAATCAACAGGAATGCACCCAGTTGGGGACCTGTCTAGGAAGAAGGGCTCTGGGCTGAAGGGGAGAGCATTTCTAAATTCCCTGGACAGTGTGGGCAGCAGGGCTCTGGGCCTTGTTAAGAGACTGGAATTTAGAATATTGGCTCCAGGGAAGAGCCTCTCCAGACCTAACTGATGAGAGAGGAATCTGTAAACCGTGCTCATAACATTCTGTCTTTTGACCCCAGGTTCTCTGTCGTTTTTGTGTTCCTCGGTGCTCTGATCATCACATCAGTTCTGCTGCTCTTCCCTCGAGCCAGTGAAGTCCCAGCCCCAGAGGTCGAAATGAAGGTAAAACTGTTGGCTTTATTTTGCCTCCTGCATCATAACTCTTGTCTCCCTTGGTCTAGACCTCCATCCTGCCCGGAGCTCTTCTCTCAATGTCAGGCTGGCCGAAATGTGTTAGAAGCGTAAAGTTAACACGAGGGTGGGGAAAGCTCACAGGGAGCTTTACATTCCCTTGTCCTTTCACCTAGGACAAGAATCTCATTCTGATTCCCACATGTAACACCATGGGGCAGTTAGTTGCCTGATTTGAGGGCATCCCCCCTGGGCATTGAGCTGCATGAGCGGTGTGTCCAAAAGCCACCTGACACTGTGGGGCTGGAGAAGAGGAAATGAGTTCAGAATAGGAACAGGGCCTGGCCCTGAAATGCAAGTGTCCCCATCCTGGTAGTCTGGGTGCAGAAACTCAGATCCTAGCCAAAGCGTATGCGGTGCCTTGGGTGTGCTGAATGGCATGCTTGTCCATCTCCATGGGTTTGGTTCCTCCACGTGTGCGGTGAAAAGAGTACTTTCCATAGAGAAGATAGGTGGAGAAAGAGCATTTCTATGGAAAGCACAGGTTGTTGAGACAGCTGAATGCAGTAGTGACAGCTGTCTGGGGGGTTGGCTGGCCTGCGTTCCTGGAACCCCATCGAACAGCACCCACCTCTCTAGAGGGATTGTTGCCACCTCCCTCAGAGTCCTTCTGGAGACCTTACCCGTCTGCTTCATTCCTGACTTGGGCGCTTCTTATCTCCCATCTCTCCTTCTAGCAGCTTCTTTTCTCTCAACCTCCCATTTTCATTTTTAAAGTGGTAAAGATGACATTAGCTCATATTTTGGGGGCAGGGGGGGAGGGGCACAGGGGGAGGGGCAGAGGAAGAGGGAGAGAGAGAGAGAATCTTAAGCAGACTCCCCAGCTGAGCACTGAGCACAGAGCCCGATGCAGAGCTCGATCCCATGAGCCTGAGCCGAAATCAAGTCGGACGCTGAACTGACTGAGCCACCCAGGCACCTGTCTTAACAGTTTTTAAGGGATTACTGTGTGTGAGGTTGTTTGCTAAGCACCTTGTTTGCCTTATCTCACTTAAACCTAAGACAACCCTAAACAGTATAAAGTAGGTGCTATTATTATCTCCAAGGACACTGAGGCTGTAAGAGGTGAAGTAAATTGCCCAGGGTCATACATTTATAGGAAGAGTCAGAGCAAGGATTCCAGCTGAGGTCTGTCTGCAAACCTTCATTGCTGGGGACTCGTCAGAATACTGGGGGCCATCACAGAGTTCATGGGTGAGCATCGACACTAGACCACAGTACACAAAATTATACAACTTCCGAACTAAAACTGGCACACATTTCTAACTCTGTCTAGGACTAATCATGGCAAAAGGGAGGAAATTCATTCTGAAAAGTCCACAGGACATAATACCACACACATGTAAGGAATCATTTCCATACATGTCAGGGATTTTTGTCAGCATTTGAAAACCACTCTGTCAGTGCAAGTACCAAGTGTGGGGGCCAGGAATAGACTCCCACCTCCGTTTCCCCATCGGAGAGGGAGCAAGTGGTGAAGGGCCGTATTTCTGGATGGCTTTGGATGTGAATATCGGGAGAAGCGCACAGAGCAAACACTGTTTTGAATTCAGTCCCTCTCTCCTCTCTCCTATGAGTTGCAGACCCAGGAGAGAAGGAGGTTTGAGCAAAATATGTTCGTCGGCGTGGCCCACAGAATTGGTGTTCTCATTTTCAGGTTTTGAGAACTGGCCCCTGCAGCAGCCTGGCTCGATACTGTATCAATAATACATGACCTGGGCCTTCTGCACCAAAGGCCTGCTAATTGGCTAATTAAAAAGTGAAACGTGTCAAACGAGCAAACATGTAGCCCGCGAGAGACCTGTTCGGTACTAGAGCCAAGGTCAAAGTTATGTTAAAGCTGTTTTATCAAACTGACCTTTGTTGTAAGTTGGCTGTTGGGGTAATCTCTGGAGCAGCCCTTTTCTTCTTGGTATCTTTGGATCTCAGCGATCAGAGCAGTGTGAGGACTTGGCAGGTCCTCTGTGTCATGCCACAGTATTAGCCTCCTGTTGCTGCTATAACAAATCACCGCCGGCTTCGTGCCTTACAACACAGATGGATTTTCTTACAGTTCTGTAAGTTAGAAGTCCAAATGCAGTCTCCCTGGGCTAGAGTCAGGGGTTGGCAGGGCTGTATTCCTTCCTGGAGGTTCTGGAGAAGAATTTGTTTCTTTGTCCACCCAGCTTCTAGAGGCCGCCCTTGGCTAGCGGCCCCGATGCTCCATCTTCAGAGCCAGCGAGGTAACATCTCGATGACTCTACTTGCATCTGTCCATCTCTTCCTTGACCTTCTCTTCTGCCTCCCTCTTCCAGGTTTAAGGACCCTTGTGATTACACTGGGCTCACCTGGATTGGATAATCCAGGCTAATCTCCCTATTGTAAAGGTCAGGCAATTAGCAACCTCAATTCCATTTACAACCCTATTTCTCCTTTGCCATGTAATCTAACATATTCACCATTTCTGGAGGTTAGGATGTGGACATTTGGGGTAGACATATTCTGTCTACCACAATTGCCTCTTGGGTATTTTGGGTTCCCTTCCCTTTGAGAAGCTGTGAAGTCACCCTGTCACTTGATTCATGGTCCTGCTCCTGGAACCCCATCGAACAGCAGATTAATTTGCTTTTTCCTGCCCTGATTTAAGCACCGCCATTTGGATCTGGGGAGAGTAGAGCTCTGGAAGTGGACAGTAGACAGGTGGGTAGAGCCAACTCTAAGTGTAGGTTTTGTCAGCAAAGACCAACAGCTTTGGGGCTCCAAGTATGACTGGTTGCCAGGCAGCCTGCTGGATGATTTGGGGCACGTTATCTATCCTTTCAACATTTTAGTGTCTCAGGCAAATGGCCATTTAGCCTAAGCCTTGGAGTGCTGGATTATGAATGTTTGGGTTCAGGACTCTTCTGATGAAAGTTTTAAAGAATCACCTTTCCATTTTGAAAAGGAACCCTCCTGAATCAGCAATGGGTTGATGATTTGGGACTTGATCTTGAATATATGGGGGTTATTATATTACTATCTTTCTATATGTGTTTAAAATTCTCCATAATAAAAAAGTTAACAACAAAAATGAGCTTTTCTAAGACTAAGCAAGCAAGCTTCTCATGAACTCTTTCAGATAACTGATGTCAGAACATAAAAGAGCTCATCCAAGGTCTTCACAGTGTTTGTGAACCTCCTCCTAAATTGAGCCATTTTTCCCCCGTACTTCAGTAATCTTTCCTTTATCTTGTATTTCCGGCGCAGGGAGTCAAGAAAAGGTTCTTTCCTAGCCATTTACAGAGGATACTCAGAGCAGGGTGTTACTGGAAATCATAAATACAAACAGACTCTGGGCCCACTCATCAAAGATTTCAGATGAGCACAAGCTGAAGTGATCATAATTTCATTTTTGATGTTTCTCTCTACAGATTGTGGATTCCTTTTTCATTGGCCGCTATGTCCTGCTGGCTTTCCTCACTGCTGTCTTCCTTGGAGGCCTCTTTTTGGTTCTCATTCATCATATCCTAGAGCCAGTCTATGCCAAACCACTGCGGTCCTACTGAGCACTGTTCAGGAAAACCAAGACCCTGTTCTGTCCTTCACTTTTTATGTCACTGGTGAGCAGAAAGTTATTATTCAGAGCCTTGTTTTGACAGCCCTTATGCCTTAAGATCAGAGAAATATCCATTCATGACTAGGACAAAATCCCTTGAATCTTGGCTTCCGGAAATGGGGTTGCAAAAGTGGCCCTGCAGAGATGATTCTCACCATCTTCAGAGGGATGTTGCGGTCTTCTTTGCACTTGTTCCTCAGGTTTTCTATCTGTTTTGAAAGGGAAATAGTAACAGTGATCTGCTTCCAGTAGATTTTCAATCAAGACATCAGTAAGTGGATTTTGGGAAAAGGAGCAATTTGGATTCTGCTGTCCAGGAGATGGAAGAATCTCATCCTTTCGATAATACACAAGATTCTTAGTTGCAAGGGTGGGATCATTAGGAAAGGAAAGGCACTCCAAGTTCAAAAGTTTATTTTATTGTGATGAGTTGGAAGACTTACCCAGGTGTTAGTTGTTGACCAGTGTGTATATGGTGCCACAGAATCTATACAAGCAATGGGTGTCCCTTCCCTCTGCTCTAATAAAGCAATAAACAACCCAAGGACTCACCTTCACTTCAGACTCGGCCACAGCTTTCCTAGTCTATATTCTATATTTCAAATTTGTTTGAAATTGGAAGGGCATGGAAGTGTTGGTTTTTGTCTTGCTGCTATAGATCTCTGGATTCTTTCTCTTTCGGAATTTGGTAGCCTTCGTGTGCCTTATTTAATTATTGTAGAGTCCATTTTGGGTTATGATCATTTCTTTTTAGTTTTGTAGCCCTTTCTCCAAAGCTGATGAGGAATATACATTCCCAAGATTAGATACAACTTTATACCTGTCTGAGATCCCACATCAACCGAAATTTATTATCAAATGGAGGGGCTCTGGGCTGGTTCCACTTTAGAAGTCTCTTCCTGACTCCCTAGAACTAAATGAAGAAGGATCTTCTGGCTTAAAATTAAGAACAAGGAAACAAGTTGGAAAGAGACCTTTGGGCGTGTGCTATAGGCCAGCAGTAGACTAGTTCCCTTGTAAATCAGTGTCTTTAAATTTTACAGCAATATATTTATTATCATCCTGTTTTAAAGTAGAAAAAAGTAAGGCTCAAAGAGATGAACTGACTTGCCCAGGCGTCACAATAACAGCCAGTGTGCACACCCAGGTGTAGCCGACTCCGGGGTCCGTCTCAGACTAGAAAGAAAACCCACTGAGCTTTGTGGAGCTTTGATTGAGAGCTTGGGGAAGTCAGGGCCATGTCTCCTTCACTTTCTCTCCCAGATCCTGTTGTCAGGGTAGAGATGATACCCCAGTGGGGGCTAAGCTCTAAATTAAAAGAGGAGAGAATGGGTGACTCCGGGGGAGTCATGGACTGGTGAGGGCCAGGTGTATTTATTTCTGCGCTTGAACTGTCTCTATCTTACTCAGTTTGGAAAACCTTTGCAGATAAGGCTTTGTCACAGAACAATTCAAAGGAAATGGTCTCGTCATCTGGCCTCGGGCCCACAGGTGAGAAAAGAAGAAACACTCCTCCAAGCAGATTGGAGGGGAGAAAGAAGAACGCAGACACGCGGAGGGAAGTAGGGCAAGGCGGCAGTCAGGCTCTGTGCTCCTCTCTGGGGACACTTGCTCTGAAGCTTCCAGATTGCTGTGAATCTCTGTGCAGAGACGTTGAGCTAGCCCGAGTGGAGCCTGGACTCCTAATCAGCATAGGCTGCCATGTGTCACCTCCTGAGAGACTTGCTGACAAAGCAAATCTGGGAAAAGTTGTAGGTTCTGAACTTGAATCCATCTTTTTTATTCCCCAACAAAGGTGTCCAACTATGAGCTCAGTGGATAATAGCTATGAAGTTTTGGGTGACTACTTACGTGGAGAAAAATGTGTTAAGGGTGGAAACTAGAACACCATGGCTTTCTAACACATGCGTGTGTGTGTGTGTGTTTTGCACAAATATAAATGGCAGGTTTCTGTGGTAAGGGCAAAAAATATACTTTGTACAAAGTGTATTTTGCCAGCTGTGGGGAAATGACTGATAGATTACTCTCTGCCTTCATACTCAAAGCAGTCATGGCCAACCCGAAAAAACCCCCACAGGGGTGGGATAAGAAGTAGAAGGCTAAAACATGAATCTCACTAAGAGCTCTACATGGGGCACGCCTACAATTCCTGAATTGGCACCCCTTGGGCTTACCGCCTTCCTGGAGAGAGGGCTTAGAGGTCATCTAAGTGTCCCATGGTCAATATCCTTCGAGCAGGTGGTGCTTTATTGTGCCTTACCCAGAGGGGATCCTGTAGCAGAGAGACTGCGGTGATCCCCACTGTTTACAAGGTGGAGAGGGAGAGTAAACCAGGAGTTCTACATGAAAAACAGGTGATTTCAGAGCCTCTTAAAATTGTATCCTGACGAAAGCTACATTGGCAGGACACCACACTACTCCACAACGCAGACATTGGTCCGGTTCGCTAGGTGGCGCTGCGTGTTCTAGTTTAGACAGTCCCTCAAGCCCGCAAAACACACTTAACTAGGTAATTTTTTGACAAGTTCCTTAAATTTCTCATTTATAAAAATGGAAGTAAAGCTGACATTCTTTACTGATACACAGTATCAGCTATTTAATCTAAAAATTCATCAAAATTATTGTGCCAACGTTCAGGTCCTAGGAAATGCATAACCATTTGTTTGTGCTTTGTACTGCATGTGCAGCCGTTCATTTCACCCTAACAGACGGCAATCCATTTCTCGTTCTGCTAAGACATCAACTCTTCTTTTTTTTTTAAATTTCTTTATTGTTATGTTAATCACCATATATTACATAATTTGTTTTGGTGTACTGTTCCATGATTCATTGTTTGTGCATGACACCCAGTGCTCCACGCAGAACGTGCCCTCTTTAATACCCATCACCAGGCTGACCCATCCCCCACCCCCCTCCCAGAAACCTGCTGCAATTATTTTATGGAAGAGAAACAGGCAGAGAGAGAGCGGAAGGGATTTTAGAAGTTTCCCTGCATTAATAGTGGGGCTCAAACCTGACATCAGGATTCCTGACATCTCACTCCTCAGATAATTTAAAGATCATTTTTGGCTCGCAAACAACTCCTTATTTCTATATTGGTTAATACTATTTTGTAGCTATTGGTCCCCGTCCTTTCCCTAACCCATGTCTTTAAAAAGGTAAAACTTTCATTACCGAATTTCTGATTGGCATCTAGAGTACAAATAATCAGTATTTTGTCATAACTTCTTGGCTTAAACCTTTTAAGTATTTGGCTGTTGTTACATAGGAACAAGTTTCCAGATGTGGGAATCGTCCTCACAGGAACTCAGGGTTGGAAGGGATTTTGTAGTTCATAGGGTCCAATCTTTAATCTCTATTTCCACCCCAATACTTGGAAATATTCTATTCCTCACAGGCTGAAGTCACAGTTTTTATTATATTTACCAAACATGTTCTAAGCATTTTTCTAAATGCTTTGTGAATATTAAGGAATCCTCATAAGCAACCCTGTGAAGTGGGTGCTCTGAATATCCCCATTTCATGGATGCGGGAGGGGTACAGAGTGGCGAGGTGATTTGCTTGAGGTCACTCAGCTCAGGGTTAAATAGGAGTCAGTGTTTGAAGTCGGGTGGTTTGGCTCCAGTCTAAGCTTTTACATACTTTATATTATATTGTGTTGCTCCATAAAATAAAAAGAAAGAAAAGCGAGGGACCAAGGTCAAGCAACACAAATCCAGTTGATAGAAATACCAAAAAGCAGCAGCTGAGTCTAGTGGAAAACCCAGAATCGGGATTGGGCAAGAGTCTGAGACAAAGCAGTTAAAAGCCACATGGGACCTCAGAGACAACTGCACTCATCCACCCTGTGCTTTTGGTGGGTCCTTGCCTGTTGGACTTTGGCTCCTCACTGGCTGAGATAGTGGAGGAGCCCATGGGCTGAGTCTTCAAGGACATACCCAGCTGTCTCTCTCTTAAGCGCTGTCCACCTGGAATGTTTGATACTTGGGTTGGTTTTTCGGAGGTGCCAATGGAAGAACCAAAGTCACAAACCAAGAATGTATTTGTTTCTTGGTCTCTGTTTCTAACAGATCATTATTGGTGGTCTCTGTTTACTCAAAAAAAAGTTTCCAGTGCCCAGCCCCACCCCAACACAAACCCTCACATCTCAGTTTCCTGGGACCTAAGAAAGAACAGTAGGGATCAAAATCAGGGCCCAACACCACAAACAGAATGAGAAAGTTTCTTTTTCTGGTTTTCATCACACCATGTTGGGTATTGTAAAGGCTGTGCCAGGCACTGTCCTCAGAGAACTTGGGGTGGTCATAGAGGCAGCGTTAACCCTGAACCTAAATGCTACATAGCCATTCCCTCCATGTTTTTTTTTTTTTTTAATCTTTGGGGATTTCTTTGGTTTTTCTGTCTTCAAATTGATGTTGCCTCAAGTTGACACTGGGGAACAGGTTATAACTTCCTATTGCTGTAGTAACAAAGTACCACCAACTTACTGGTTTAGAACAATATGGATTTCTTATCTTACAGTTTTGGAGGTGAGAAATCTGCAGTAGGTTTCACAAGGCTCCTAGCAAGGTTTTGGAGGCTCTAGGGGAGAATCGCATTTCCTTTCTTTTTCTAGTTTCTAGAGACTGTCCACAACCCTGGGCCAGTGTACCCTTCTTCCGTCTTCAGAGCCCCATCTTCTAATTTGACCACTGACACTCTTGCCTCCCTCTTTGATTTATAAGGAGCCTTGTGGTTACACTGGGCTCACACTGACCATCCAGGATAGTCTCCCCATCTCATGGTCCTTAATCACATCTGCGGGTAGCATATTCACGGGTCCTGGGAGTTAGAATGTGGGCATCTTTGGGGGGAGGGAGTGTTATTCTGCCCCCACAGAATCGACGGCCCCACCCTCCGGGTCTAAGGCTTGCTTCCTTCCACCCTCCGGTTTCTGTCCTCTCCCCACCTCATGGCTTTATATAGGAGGTCTGCCCCTTTATCTCCAGGAGCACTCTCCGGTGCCCATGATGTGCTGTGAGGCGCCTTCCCCTCAACTTCAGTCTTGCTGAAAGCCTCAGAGTGCCAAGGGTTCCCTTTCTTTTCATTACTTCTTTCCCCCCTTCCCCCCTCCCCCACCGCAACCGCACACCACCCCAGCCTCCCAATGGCTCTCAAGGAGAAATGCAAAGAGTTATTGCTTTTTAATTACAAGTGCTATTGTAACATCTATAAGGAAGAACACTTTAAGCTTAATTGAGACCAAATGTGAAGTTAAATTAAATGAATAACTAATTAACGTAACGCTCCTGCATTAGCCCCAAGCGAGTGCTGAGGCCCAGAGAGAAGGCAGGTAGCAGGCTTCCGGGGAACAGTCAGTGCCCAGAGCTGAGGTGGGGGCAGGGAACCCGGGGCCGGGGAGGCCTTGCGGAGCGGCACATCTCAGGGCCGGGGGGTCCTCCACCTTCGCCACCACCCCCCCCCGACTCCCGCCCACAGCGCCCCTCCTCGTTGCCGAGGCCGGGCGCTGAGCTCCGCACGCCTTCTGCTGACCCAGGGCCCCACGGACCCCACCCCCCCACC